TTCTGTCACCATGAATGAAATCTCACAACCTTATTATTAACCTGCTAGGTACTGTTTGTCCCTATTACTCAGATAAGATGGAGAGACAAACAGGTTACATTCTCTTAAGCAATGCTGGTACCAGACCAGACATGAAATCCTGGCCTCAGTACAGCACTCCTATTAACTCGGATATGCAGAGGACACCTCTGTGGGAGTGGGGAGTTTTGAATATCAATTTTCTGTACTACTTACTTGAAATTGCCTTATACTGTTATAAAAATAATTGCACAGCATTAATTTGCTTCTTAATATCTTTCTATTTCTATCCAATTTTGGCCAGTCAACCATAAAAAGACAGCAAGTCATTATTGTCTGTTTTGTTAAGAATGCACAGTTCGAAAGAAGGTCCTTCTGCTTATTGCTGTATGATGATAACATAGGAGTACTTTACAAAATCAGTAGTAATATATTCTGAATGTTGGGTCTGTGGAATAAGTAATTTATACTGAAAAAATCAGGATCTATCTGTTTTTGTGAAATACTAATTCATTTAACTTAGTATGAACCCTTAAGACACTGATGTTTTCCAGACTACTAACTCGTGATTCTAACAACTTTAATTCTTTCGTTTGAATCCATGACAGTTGTGAAAATAATAGGGTTTTAACAACAACTTTACATTTTATGCAGCAGATTATGTACCTGAAACTTGTATTGTGTTTATGTTTGAATATACTGGATCTGTTGCCAGAGTTATGAGTACACAGTAGGTTACCTTTTTATGGTATTTGAAAGATTGTTCTACAGCAGGATGCTTTTCCAGCATAGGAAAAGTCTATTTAAGGCATATGGCGTGAATCATGCTGCGTAGATGCAGCCGTTGATCAGAAAAGGAGAAAGGATCTTTCAGCACTGTATTGCAGATCGACATACAAAGATTGTCAAAGACTACTTTGACACTAACGCTGTTATAAAGGCTACTCACTGCAGTGTTTTTCAAGTCAGGATAGTATGTTTTGTATCAAGGTAAATAATTGTATTATTTTGATTTATTTGCAGGAAGTTGCTTTCTTGAATTTTCACTACAGATGTTTGTAGTAAATGGTAATTTTACTGGGATTTCAATAGAAAACAGTCAATTTAATTCTTTCGTTTGAATCCATGACAGTTGTGAAAATAACAGGGTTTTAACAACAACTTTTCCGTGCAGACTAGGACATCAAATCTCTGGACCAGAAAATATTCTTACTTTAGTATTTGCCAGCAAGCAATCAAGAGCAAGAGATGACTATTCTTCTGGAATAGTAAACGGACCGTGACATGTAAAAAGACTTTGTGCAGGTGTTACTTTTTTAAAGTTGTTTTTGCAGGTTGCACTTGTAGTGAGTTCCCTTCATGTTGGATGAAGTGCGTTTGTTGGATAAACTTTACAATGACATTGTTTCTTAGGTGAAGCAGTATAATGGCAATGACTCATTGTGCAAATGAATTCTTATTTTTCAGACTATGATCTTTCAAAGCTGAGAGATTTCATTGATCAGCAAGCTGATGCTTACGTGGACAAGGGCATCCTGGACAAGGAAGAGGCTGATGTTATTAAACGCATATATGGCAGCCTGTAAAAAGCTAGTGGCTGCCAAACACGTAGAAAATTAGTTTAGCTTCCCCCACTCCCGGCTCAATGACTTACGGTCGGTTATTTTGAGGATATCATTAGAAATGCTCTGTTTACATTGTACTGACAACTTTCTAGGCAGAAATGAAGAGCTGTAGTGCTCCATACACTGACTGCATACTGTATTTTCCTACACTCACAAATCAACCCGTAACGCCAAATTCTGACACTGAATCTCTATTTGACAGGGTAAATATTTATGTAATGTTCTCTTTGATTTATTATTTGTATTTGGTTTACTTTTGTAGATGAACCAATCATTTCTGATGGAAAGTTCTTCTAATGCTACATCTTTTTGCTCTCACTCCACTAGCTTTCTATAGATCCAACTATGTAAAGGGCATTATTAGAAAATAGTTCATAGTTCTCTAAATAAAATATTTGAAAATAATTTACCTATTGAAGTTTTCATTAATCTTAATATGATTTTATATCCAGAAATCTTGTTTTAAATCCTAATACCTGGGGGGGGTTTTGACCCTTTTTTATTTCTTTATGTAGTATTCTATAACTTGGACTATAGTGTCCTTAGCTGACTGATACATCTTTGACACTACAACTGCTTTTCATATTGCAGAGCTCTATTCTCCCCATTGTTGCTTCATTCAGCATGTATAAACATTCTTTTTGGTGCACCATTTGATGATTGTGCATGCATAATTTGTTGAATTCCTGATGTGAGTAGCCTGATAACAAGTGTAAATAGCCATTACTTTCTTTAAAGGAAAAAAAAAAAAAAAAGAAAGCAATTCAAGTAGTTTTCCATGGGAATGGGAGTTTGCAACTAGAGATGTTTTTAGGAACACGGGCCCTGCTTCTCAGAAAGACTTAACTTAAAGAACCTAGCATATCTCAGCATCCCCGAATATCAAGGCTGTAGTGTGTTTACTGACTTCTGATCTGTGTTGAGCAGTGTTATTTTGGAAAACTATTTTTGGGGCATATATATGCTATCATTAGCCAAGAATTTGGTACCTCCTAAAGAGTGAAAAAAGGAAAACAAAAATGTCACACTCATTCTTCTTCCTCAACTTACAGAGTTTTCGAAGAATGGTTTATGAAATCTTTTATATTTAAGTGAATTGATAATTTTATCTATTAAGAACTCATGAAGCAAGATCAGTTGTAAAGAAGTTTTTAGAAAAGTAAATTTTAAACTGAGTTCCGTAAGGCAGAAGTCCTGAGACTTATCCCCTGCAGCAGCCATTTGTCTAAATAAACTCCAGGAAAGCCCTTTCTCTTTCTTTACAGGTTCTTCATTGCTAATTGCGGTTATCCCTCCTCTGATATTTTTTTTCTTTTTTAAACTCATACTTCTGAGATTGATACGGTCAAAAAATGTTAGCTGATGCAGAGGTCGGTATTGCCTGCCAGTGAAGGGAGATGCTGACTTACAGCACTGCCTGCACAGCACAAAGTTCTGTAAATGTTAAATGGGCAGATCGTTTCCTTCCTTATTTTCTCAGCACAGTTGGAGACTGAGGAGGAGATTTGAGCCATGTTTCTTAGCCAGCTGAAGTAAACTTTGGAATCCCTGCAAAACATAAATTATCATCTGAACATTATCAACAGAACATTATTGGTAACAAATATTAAATTAATGTGATAGCAATGAGGTGTAACAGCGTGTCCATTCGAAAATTGATGATACATAAGCCAACACAAAAAGTACGTCACTGCCTGCTCATACACATCCTGATACGGATCATTGACTTGCAGTACCAGTCACTAATGGGAGGTATTTATTTTAAGATAAAAACTGTATCAAGAAATGTAGTCAATGTAACCTTCCTGTTGGAAAAATAGTCCCTTAGAAACATCGGAGAAAATAATCAGGAAAAAAGAAGGCCTGTTATTTTGAATCAGTGTACTTTTTTCTCATCTAAAAGACCCTAATCTCTATTATTATTATTATTATGTAATGTTCCCAAAGAATAGAATTTCTTCTTGTTTTTATAGATCTCAGTTGTTTTCTGCAACAGCTTGTGACTTACTTTCTTATGTGACTATCGCAATGGAAAAATAGACTTTTGGATTTATGAAAGACATTGGGAGAATGATAACTAAGCATAGCCCTTTACAGCTGGGGAAGTAGTAGGGATCTAGGATCTGCACTTAAAAAACAAAAAGAACAAACTTTCCTTCCCCAATGGCTACTTTAAAAAAAAAAAAAAAAGCAAACTTTCTTTTGTCAATATAATGAGTAGTATAATAGTATTTTTAATTTTCTTTGGAAGTCAGGTTCTCACTTTGGCCTCTCCGTTAGTACCAGACTATGCAGGAGACTGGTACTAACGGAAAGATGTCATCAACTAGCAACCTGTGATGATGAACAGTTTGTGCCCGCAAAAAGGCTAGTACAGTATTTTTTAACCTCTCAGCTTTGCAAGTTTTATCATTTCAACAAAGCATAGATGACATCATTTAGGGGAAAAAAAAAAAAAGTCCAAACAATGGGTATGACCTGATTCTAGTTCAGAGTATGCATGTTCTTGGGCCTGTTGTGTGCTTACCCTGCTGCTGCTGTGCACCGGCTGCGGTACATACGCAGACCAATTAGACCGACCTGATGACTAGCTGAGAACAGAGCAAGCCCTCTGATGGATAGATGAGCAATCTCAGCTACGTCCTGCAAACTAGATTCACCTCCCATCCTGCCCAAGCCCATTAAATTTGTTATTTGAATGCTTCAAATACTGGTTTCATTGCTGGTGCATCAAATGAACAGCTATTGGTACATCACACCTTTCAGAAGGAGACAGTAAAAACACAGCCAGCCTGATGAATCACCCTGCATTTCTAAAAGGCTATGACTTAGGCTAAATAAAATCAAATCGAGTGATGCGAGTTTCAACCTGCGCCATGGATCAGTCTGTGTTTTGAAGGGAACACTTGGAGCACATTAGCACTGGAGATCTGCTGCTGGTGTGGTTAGTACGTAATTAGTGAATCACACTCTGTCAGTGCTTTCCTTTTTCCTGGTCAGAAAGGTATTTTCAAACACCTGCACATCTCTGGTTCTAAAGTGACAAAAATCAGCTTCTATGTTGTTTGTATCTCTGCTGGATCCTTCAGAAATCTTTCACTCCCTAAATTATCACTGAAAATGTAACAAGTACTACATATATATATATATATATGGTATTCACCTTTTGAGCTTTTCTATTAGACTATTGTTTCTGATACTGTACTTTATTAAACACTTTACTACAAGCTACAGTAGTACAAGGCTGCTTTTGTGTCTTAAAGAGAATTTGTCTTTTCTATCTATTGCCCAGCTTTGTGAGGATGTCCTGCACCACAGAGCAATAGGGGTTCACAGCCAATGTCTGCAGGAAGGGGGATGCCCTGCTGAGAACGTTAGACGCAACTACAGCACCTGATGGCTGAGTTAGAGGCACATACGGGGGTTAAGTAGCCTCCAGACACATTGCAAATGAATCCCAAACAAAAACTTTTTATTGTTTATGGCCCACATTCATTTAAAAAGATTCTAGTCCAAGCCTGCCTGGGTTTTGACTTTTGAAGCTTTGATTGAAGAAATATTATAGAATCATAGAATCACAGAATGGCCTGGATTGGAAGGGACCTTAAAGCCCATCTAGTTCCAACCCCCTTGTCATGGGCAGGGACACCCTCCACTAGATCAGGTTGCCCAAAGCCCCATCCAGCCTGGCCTTGAACACTTCCAGGGATGAGGCATCCACAGCTTCTCTGGGCAACCTGTTCCAGTGCCTCACCACCCTCACAGGAAATAATTTCTTCCTAATCTCTAATCTAAATCTCCCCTCCATCAGCTTAAGGCCATTCCCCCTTGTCCTGTCACATGCCCTTGTAAACAGCCCCTTTCTCACCTCCCTCGACCTGCTGGTCACATAGTTCTTTTGATGCAGCCCAGGACATGGTTGGCTTTCTGGGCTACAAGCGCACACTGCCGGCTCATGTTGAGCTTCTCATCAATCAACACCCCCAAGTCCTTCTTCTCAGGGCTGCTTTCAATCCATTCCCTGCCCAACCTATAGCTGTGCTTGGGATTGCGCCGACCCACGTGCAGGACCTTGCACTTGGCCTTGTTGAACTTCATGCGGTTCACACAGGCCCACCTCTGAAGCCTGTCAAGGTCCTTCTGGATGGCATCCCTTCCCTCCAGCGTGTTGACCACACCACACAGCTTGGTGTCGTCAGCAAACTTGCTGAGAGTGCACTCGATCCCACTGTCCATGTCACTGTCAAAGATGTCAAAGAGCGCCGGTCCCAGTACCAACCCCTGAGGAATACCACTCGTCACTGCTCTCCACTTGGACATTGAGCCCTTGACCACAACTCTTTGAGTGAGACCATCCAGCCAATTCCTTGCCCACCGAGTGGTCCATCAGTCAAATCCATGTCTCTCTGATTTAGAGACAAGGATGATGTGCAGGACAGTGTCAAATGCTTTGCACAAGTCCAGGTAGATGACATCAGTTCCTCTTCCCTTACCCACCAATGCCGTAGCCCCATCACAGAAGGGCACCACATTTGTCAGGCACGATTTGCCCTTAGTGAAGCCATGTTGGTTGCCACCAATCACCTCCTTAGTTTCCATGTGCCTGAGCAGTTTCCAGGAGGATCTGCTCCATGATCTTGCTGGGCACAGAGGTGAGATTGTTCTGTAAAATCACAACTACAAACGTGCAGGTTTCCCACCACAGAGTAGCTGCAAAACATGGAATTTTACATGCACTGTGTGCTTCACACCTGCCTGAAATTGCCCTATTCTGGCCCTAAACCGCACCTTGTAGGACTGGTAGAAATATATGAACAAAGAATGAAGTTAAAAGTGTAGGAAGAATAAAGACAGAGTGAGAAGCAAAATATACAAGACAAAGTATAAAAATACATATAAAATATACAGGAAAAACTTATTTTATTGAGTAACAATATGACAATATGGATTAAGATATCAAAACATTAGTTGTTTCAGAGTCTCAGGAACTCCTTTTTTACAGAGTAGGAAAACTCCATCTTGAATTACTCTGAATGTATTATGGACTCGCTATTTCCACGCACCATTTTCTCCCATCTGTCCCGTTTCCCCTGGTGCTGAGCAGAGCCGGGCTGCGTCAGACGCCTGCCGGGACGTGCACAGGGTGTGCAGCCCAGCCGTGCAGCAGCGGTGCGGGGTCACGGGACCTCCGGACAATGCAGGCATGCGAGAAACCCGCAGAGACACAGTAAAGCAATTGTAAAAATATTTTACCTATACGTAAAAATGGGCATTAATTTGCCCTAGGGATTATGAAACACCACAGCTATCTACCTGAAAACCAGGAACAGGCATTAATTAAACACAAAATCTAATTTTTTGTCACACTGCAATAGGCTGCCAGGACAAAGAGAATACTGTTTAATTAGCGCTCTGATAGAAGCCAGGCTGGCTGCAGCTGCCGCCGGAGCACCTCAGGGCCCAGGTGTGCCTGGAGCTCGTCAGGCCCAGCAGCCCTGCGGCCATAAAGAGCAGCCTCGGCCCAGGGCAGGGGAGAGCTGCTGCTGCTGCTTGTGGTAAACAGGACTGCAGAGCTAAAGGAGGTGGAGGGGAAGCATAAAGCAAGGGGCCTCTCTGGCCTGGGGCCCTGTGAAGTGTCTGGCAATAGGCAAGGAGTGGGGACCTGCGCCAGGGCCAGCAAGGTAGGGCCTTGTACGGGCACCTTTGTTGTGGTTAATGGCGGCATTGAAATCTTCCCTGGGGCTGCTTGTGTGGAACAGGTGGGTTGGGTGTCTCTGCTGGGTTGTGAATGGTTTTGCAAAGGATGCCGTGGTGGTGTGGTGGGCTTCCAGAGATGCTGTGGGTTCACTGAGGTGCTGTGTGCAGTGTGGGTCTCTGCCCAGCCATGTCTCTGGGCTGGCACAGCTGCTTCTTCCCTTGTGCTTCTGTGTGGCTTTCTGAGGAGAAGTAGATGCAAATGGTGTCACCGGTCTTCTGTTGCTTGTCCTGAACGTCCTCCAGCCCAGGAACAAAGCAGTGCCCTTGGGAAGGGGGGAGTGGAACATGGCTGTCAGGGGCTGGGTCAGCTGGTGTGGCGGGCGAAAGCTGTGCAAGGAAAGCTGTGCTCCTGGCCTGCTCAGCACCCCAGCCTCCATTGCCTGGTAGGTGAGACTATTACAGCAGCAGGTCTCTAGTAGAAAAGGATTGAATTTTTCTGTAGGATTATAAAATGTAACTGGGCTTAGAGCTAGGGTTGCGTTCAGAAAAGTAGTTTATTCTGGCTCTGGCAATGTCCTACTGAAATTAACTGACAATAGAAATTACTGTGCTGTAAGGAATAGATACAAATCCCAATTTAAGAAAGATACAAGACCTAAAACTAATTCACCAGTCTTTTCAAGAAAAATCAATGCTTCCTTTTATTCACTCTAAGCTTTCCCTGTTCTTCTTAATTAGTGTGTCACTGCAGACCTCTTTAGAATTGGAGCTAGAGATGATTTGAATGAGCCTGTTGCTCTGAGTTCCTGCAAGCTCTAGGGAAATACCAATTCCTGTCTAGCTTTGAATTTTTATTTCTAGTTTTAGTAAATTAAGATGGAAGCAATATAGAAAGTTACATTAACATACTGCAGAGAGCTTTTGCTTTGAGGGAGCAATAAACTATATAAATGAGTTGATATATAGGAAACAGCATGGGTCACAGTAGGGACCCAGCAATTCTTTACTGACAAGCTTTTTGTGAAGCCCCTTGAATCCTTGAGGAAAAAGTGCAGGATGCTTAACAAGAAGTTGCTAGTATGTTAACTTCAGGGCAAAGAGCAAATGCAGTCTGCACTCCACCTTCCTGAGCTTCAGTGGGGTCCATGTGCAGACTTCAATACTGGCATCTCTCCTCAAAACAGCAAAGGCTTACCAGTGTGGCTCTTATTAATCTTGACGCAGTTTTCTTGAAGGCACAACTAGATCAAGTACTTTTTTTCAGGTCTCATTCAGGAGGATGAGCTATATGGTAAAGGACATTATTTGCCTTGAAATTAGCAGTAATAATAGCTCATGTAACTAGACAAACAGTTCTTCACAAAAACCAGACTAGAACCAAGCTGACTTCATTATGAATGGACACATTGGTATTTTTGTATTTATTAAATTAAAACAACACAAAATATAACTGCACACAAGAACACACATCTGATATTCCAATGTAGTATCTCACAAAGAAAAATCTCTTGCTGTAACTCTTCCCTTTTATTAGCAGGAATTCAAGCTGCAAACAGTTGTTTAACCATAAAGGCTTTAACTAATAAAAACAAGTGGAATTCCCCTTTCTAGGAATACATCATAACCACACACAGAGTTCAGAGGCAAGTTCTACAGCCCTGAAATAGACAAAACCTCCACAGCAAACTTGCCTGTGTTTGCAGAATACGTAAATGTCTTATTATTTTCATACTTTGTCATTTACAAGCAAACTGAATTAATATTTTTAAATACTTAAAACAAATTTCACTTTAACAAGTATTTACAAAATCTTTACTAAAGATCATCTTCCTGCATAAAGGTGACCTCAAGGATATATTGTTGCTACCATGCTACAGTTTGCACAGAAGGGGTATAAAGGCCATTGCTAGTTTTGGAAGGCTTAAACCTGTTGTCGATATAGCACAAGGACATTAACCTATGGAAGGCAGAAGAGGTCATAATTTCAGTGCAATTACCCATTCACGACTTGTTTTAAGTACATAAAGACAATGAGTCCAAAAGATTTGGGTTTTGAGATATTGACCATTTAGTTCTTTAAGAACTGATTTCATGGAAAGTTTTCAGGCCATCACATCTGTCTTCTACTGGTGATACGAAGAAGTTGCATAGGGACCTTCCTCATTGTCCTCCTCTCTAAAAAGAAAATGATCATAATCATTAGATCAGGAGCATGCCATGTCTAAATAGTAAAACTGCAATGCAGATAACCAGTTTTCCTAATGAATCAAAGCAGGTAAGACTGACACTGCCATGCAGGAATACTACTTGCAGTATGCTACTGTTCATTATACATCTCTGGAGTTCTCATTATGCTGATGACCAGTAAGGCTTTAAGTTCAACAACACTGGAACATATTTAGAGTTTAATGAACTATTCGTGACACTATAGTGCCAAATCAATTGCTATTGTTAATGCAATGACTGGATAAACCAAAGTAGGGTTGCTATTAAAAATCCTCAGGAAAAACTAGTCTGCCTACTGTGTACTTGACAACATTGCCTTTAAAAAATGGTGGTTATGTAAATCTATTGCAGTGCAGCATCATGTACTAATTCAAGTTCTCCAAAGATCACTGTTTCCTACTACTGTAGCTTCAAAATTATGTTCCTGAGAGCCTATTCTTAAAGCTGCTGACAATTTCAGTGTTTTGGTGAGAATAGAAAGACTGAACAGTTGCTACATTGAGCTTGAAAGGATTTTCAGTACTCTCACATATATGCTCCATACAAAGGTACCATTATTCAAATAGTCTAATAATGGTATAAGGTAAAAACCTATATATTTCAATAGTATCCCAAACTGCAGTCATGTAGACTCCTCCCTACTCACTTCTAAACATGATTAATTCTACAATTTAAACTTCATATAACCTTCTTTAAGGGCAAAGAACCCTATAAACTAACCAAGTAGCTCAGTAACTTGTACGCACTTCCCCAGCCCTTTCCTGTTCTTGGGTAGTCCAGCAAAATTATCTTAAACCAAAGACATTTCTCTTGCCTTGAACCAATTTTGTCAAAAAAAACCCCTAAAAAAACCCAGGTTTTGTGTAAAAGTGGTAGTTATTCACAGATGTGTGCTTACTGTAGTACTGAAAACAGATTTTAGCCTTTCTTACAAATACTACATCTATTTACATTAGTGATCCTACAGACCCAGTACCAAGTATGACTTTAGTATCTTTCCTTGTATCATCAATTTTTTTAGTGCAAAACATGGAATACTATTAATTTGCAGATGCTGTTCATAGTACCTGGCATGACAGTGAAGTCAGGGAGCAAACAATTCATGCTTAGTTGAATAACCACTAAAACACTTTTGATCTGTAAATTGTCTCAAGACAATACAATTTTAAAACTCTTTTTCAGAATTGAAAGCTATCAATGTACTAAGCTTGCAAGACTGGATTGTAGGACAGTAAAATTCAACTGTAACTACTTGGCTGAAGCTAAATATTTCCAAAAGTATATTCCGAAGCTCTGATATATGCCCTTCTGGGGCATTGGGCTTCTAGCCATGTGTGCCTGGAACATCATTGCAAATAGTGATCTCCTGTTAAGTTTGTGAGGATGAAAACTTCTGTATCTTCAGAGCTAGACTGTCCAGTAGGGGAGAAGCTTACTTCATATGCTGTACATTGAAAATAACTGTATTTCTTAGTTGTGTTGTTTCCCCTTTTAGGAGAATAAATGTGGTAGTCACAGCAAAAAGACCTTCCTTCTAATCAGAGGCTGCCAGAATCAGCCTTTCAGTCTTTTCTTGAAAGCCTTAATACAGAAATAACATCTATCATGAGATGACAACAGCCAAACACTGGACTGAAATTAGCTGCAGTTATTGTGGTAAACAGTGGGGGTGAATATGGAGAACCAAAGAGTTGAAATAGTGGTGTTATTACTAGGTCTTCAGACAGCAAAGTAACAAAACAGCTAGTCTAAGGTGTTTGTCTTCATTTCCCTTGTGAAATATGCACCTGGACTATGGGCTTTTGCTTTGGCTCTGTCAGCAAAGGGCAGAAGGCTGGCACCTGAGTCGCAGCCAGCTGTGAGGGGTCTCCCTATGTGGCAGGGGCTTAAGAACTGTGTAGTGGGTCACTACATTTGAACCTAAGCAAAGCAGTGACTGGCTATAATACGCAAAATAAATTCCTGACCAAGGCTCAGGCATGTTGTAGTTGGCAGTAAAGCCTGGCAAGAACAGCTTCTAACCTTCTGTCCCAAGGTGCAGCACTGGGCTATGTGGTAAGAGCTACACCACTTATTTCCTGGCTGTGGCCTTGTTTTGGAGTATTACTAATCTACATGCTCAGAACTGTACATAGCAAGTACAAGTCTGTTCCAGTGGCTTAAAAGCAAGCTGAGCTTTATATGAAATAAAATAGCGTAGTAGTAGCTCCAGCCCATGGCACACAAGAAACATGGCAGTGTGTGTATGTTTAATGACCAAACAATTTTCTTCACTTTTAAGATGCTTAAAAGAGCAAAGCGGTAAGTCACTGCAACATTCTCCTTCAGGCAAAGGAAAAGTAACAGCACAGCATTACAATGCTTTGTAGTGCTGTCTCTTCCAGTTTGCTGTTCCTACTTTGCTGAGCTGAAAGACATTTACTGCAAGCTACTGCATGCATCAGGCCACAATGAAAAAGGCTAATATCCACTTCTGTAACACCAAGTGCACCTGAGTGTGAACAAGTAAACTTGAATCCAATACTTGGATGCTTCTAGAATCCACAATTAAACAAGACAGCAATCTCAGTTCATGAGTTAATTGCTTTTGGAAGTCTGAAAATGGGATTCTCCACAGGCAGCCTCCTTTATTGAGGTATCTGTCTTCTTAGCTGATAGCCCATGATGGTGAACAATTATTGACCAAATTAATTCAATTAGTTACCAGTTTCAAATGCTTCAACACCTTACTCTTTCCTAGGTTCAGGTCAAAGCAACTGAGCAGGTGACAATATATAGTTCTGTTCCAGTGCTGTGGACCAGTTATTATATTGGCTCACATAAGCAACAATAATTAGAGTGGCTCTATTCAATTACAAGGTTTTCAAAATGAGTCACTAAAAGAGAAATGCAGAAGGATGTGACCTGTCCCACAAGCACAGTATATGGCCTCTGTGTTCTAGCCTACCACAGTATCACCCTAAAATATTAAGGACTCTATGAAGACCTTGCATTAGACCTCTGGTGTTCAATTACCTGATATAAAAAGCATCGCTAAACTTAATTTCAGTTTTGGCATTCCAAAACATGCATAGCAGTAGTTTGAGCAAGATGAAGCACTACTGTACTTTCTCAAACTATTACAAGCTGCTTTTCCATGTGTGGATAAAACTAATAATAGGTATTCTTCCCTAATATGCAAATAGATGAGTTTACAACACATGCTACAAACAACTATATTAATACTTTTGCATTTCTTTTGGCCTGTTATAAAAATATTGCTCAAAACAAAAGCAGATCTTATTCTTTAGAGCTGCATCCTGGGCAAATATGCCTGATTGGTGGATTCATTAACATATGATTTCTTGCTCAATGAAACTCTCCAGTAAAAGTAATACTAATGTAGATCTGGCCATATACTTGCATAAACTCTTATACCGGAAGGCAGCTGGCACAAACTGAGTCGATAACATTCTACAGTTGTTAATGCTTGTCTACTTGCATGGCTATTAAAGTTTAATATCTAGACTAAATCTGCACCTATGTGCTCCTGAATTCTTCTACCTAACAGCAAGGTGCTTTAGCTGGGAAGAAGCTGACTTTAGAGATTAATATGCTTTATTCCTCTGAGTGTGTAAGGAGGTGACTTCAAGAGCTATGATTAAACTATGTAATTTGCCTCAAGCTGGTTTTGTAGCACAGGGCAGTTTCTGACTATGAAACTACCTGTAGTTTGATTGGAACCGGCACATGTATGTGCATGTGTTCTTGGCAACTTTAAGGGAGACCAAAGTAAAGAGCAATTTAAGATGTCAGGATTCTCTCTATCTGTCAAATTGACCCCATAGGTATGGTGAGAAGTTATGACTCTTCAAGTTCTGGAACTGATAATCTGCTTCTGCTTGCAGTTTTCTTAGTTCCAATGTCCCTTTTGGTGGTAGTAGATATAACTCTAGGTGTTCCTTTCTTACTCTCAAACAGACACTTAAGTACACTGCTGTGTTGGTGCATGTCACATCCTAAATAGGCCTTGACAAGGCAATCTGAATACAGAAGGCCAGAGTAGCTGGAAACAGCACTCAATTTCATCAATGGCTTTCACTCTAAGAATTGAAAATTCATGAGGCTGGCTTACTATCATGATGGCTGTCCAGTTTTCAAGGTCTCCTGCTCCAAGGAAGGGACAAGAAATGTACAGGCATGAGGGAGAACAGCTGCCTCCTGGGGAGCTGCTGGAGCAGAGTAAGGAATATTGCCACCTCCCAGTGTAGGCCCAGAAATACCATTGATGGTACATCTAAGTGTCTCTATGGGTTTTAACAATGATCTCCCTCTATTCCTGCAAGGAGTAAACATCATGCAAACTCTCTGTAAACATTGACTTTGGTCCTCTGGCACTTCCTGTTAGACTGTAAAGAGGTGAACACAGTTGTAGAAGATAAGGATGGCTTTTGTGTGCCATGACAAAGCCAGAGGCAGTGGGGTGGAAGGTGACATTAAGAAGACATTCAGACATACAGGAAGCTTTTATCTTCAGAAGCTTTGGATAACATCCCACTCAGCAGACAGCCTGCAGCTCTACACTTTGTGATTCCTGTAGCATCATGACCATGCATAACTAACAAAAATACCTGCTAAATCTGAACAGGAGATGGGGAAAAACTCATCCTTCTGTATCCTTTATTCCTTGGGATGAAATTTGGTGCCAGGCCCCCATTTACCAAGTTGCAACTTAAGCAATACAAGAAATAGATATTAGTAGTAGCAGTGTACTATTTGTGTGGTGTCACTCTTACCATATTGGTGCTCATGGTGTAGCAGGGTCTAAGTGAATTTCTTTCTGCAAATTAGCATGTTATTTTGCTGAAGGGATGTTAAAATAATTGGCTTCCTCTGGCAGGGACTGTGGTTTCCTGTCATGCACTTAACCATTGGGTCAACACCTAAACTAATCTGTTAGATACCTATGTCTAATGATCGGAGAGTCAGCAGTGGCACATTTTGATAGATGCTCTGCATTCTTTCAAATATAACAATGCAAGCAAATGAGTTTCACTAGAGAAGGATCCAAGTTCTAACAGCTGTTCTTCTTTCATGTAATCAATTCAAAAGAAACTTATTGACAAGTGTGTTAACAAGATGTGAAAGCATTCCAGCCTTCCCTGAGACAGTACCTATAAACCAGTGTCCTTCTGGCAACGGAGAGTCGTATGTTGATCGCAATAGCTAATGAATTATCATCGTTAGCTGTCCTGGGGGATATTTCCCCAAATGAGGCTTGTCCAACTGCTAAATGCAATATACTGTTCTCCTCAGATTTTTGTTTATTGAACTAAGATTTTTAAGTTGCTGAAATAATCCCTTAACTTCTTAAAGAAATGGTGGGACTCTATGCTCAATAGATTTGGACTTGAAAGATTACTTTCTTAATGTGAAAAGTATGTTGCTTGCACTCAAAATCAGTGTATGTGAAGTGAACCAGGATGACAGTAGAAGTTTTGCATTAAATAAATTTGCAAAAGCAAAGTACATATCTGCAGGTATAACCTCTCCCCAGCTTTCTGTGGTAAGAGGTGACACCAGTCCCCTGCAGCCATACCTTTTATTGTCATGAAAGGCCACCTTTGCATCAGCCACTGAGGCAATTTCTGCAGAGAATAAACAGGCCAGACAACCAGCCAAAGAGACTGCTTGTGAACAAGCTGATGAAGCTTGTCCCAAAGACATGGGAAAACAAACACTACTGAAGCCCATTACTGCTCTCTTTCTGTACTCTCCATGGGATGCCTGTGTATGTGAGGGGATAACCACTGTGGCAGAGGTCAAACAGTGGTGCTTTCTCTGAGTAATGTGTGGGGCAGCTCCTGGTTGTAGAAGAAATACTAAAAAAAGTCTATGTAGGTGGATCCACAAAAGGAGGGACTGCATAGGGAAAGGAGATAGGATAGCTTAACTGAAACTACAGCATGAAGAATACTTACACAATTGAGGCAACAGAGGAAAAAGGCAATTGTGCCTTGCTGTAAGCAGTGAGCTTCAACATAGGCCTTGGCTTAGTACTCTATTGAAAACTATGGCTTTGCTTAGTTGCCCACTTACATAGCAAGACATCTTGGAGAAGACTGGCCTGCTAGCTTTCACGGAATATACTACAGCACGAAGAATACTTACACAATTGAGGCAACCGGCAACAGAGGGAAAAGGCAACTGTGCCTTGCTGTAAGCAGTGAGCTTCAACATAGGCCTTGGCTTAGTACTCTATTGAAAACTATGGCTTTGCTTAGTTGCCCACTTACATAGCAAGACATCTTGGAGAAGACTGGCCTGCTAGCTTTCACGGAATATTATTGCTATTCTACAAATAATGCATTGTGAGGCAGCCTTTGTAACTGCCATATCAAGTCATCTGCTAATGGTGTGATCTGAATGTACCTGGTGCATGATAATAGCATTAAAACTACAGATGCTGTTTGAGATGCCCCACAGAGAGGGTTCAGCTTAGACTAAAAAGTCTTCAGGATGAGATTACGATGCTAAATACTAAAAGCGGCATTTACCTGACATTGTCATCTTTTAGTTTTCTGGCTGCTTGTTTGGATAACTTAATCTGCAAGTCCAACCTCTGTAGGAAATCTTTGGCAGATAGTTCTTCTGGTGCAGTGGGCTGATTGTCAGGCTCTTGAGGACTCGGAGAAGAACTACTTTCTTCCTGAACTGTCACTAGTCCTTCATCACAAGAAGGGGAGCTGTCAACAGTTTCATTCTCAGGAGACTCCAGTGAATTAAGTCCATTGAAAAGTAATGGTTTCTCTGATATAACGGGAATATTCAGGGTTTTCCTCAGAAATATACAGTCATTAGTGAACAGTTTATTTGCCCTCTTTATTTGTTCCATCTGAAAAAGACAGGAAAAATTTATTAGGTTTTGGCAAAATAAAGTACTAACTTTCTGAAGTAGTACAGTAACCTTTAGTTAAAATAAATCTTAAAATAAATCTATACTATCTTTGTAGCGGCAATGACTTCAGGAAAGGATTTCTGTATTCAAAGTGATTTCAGAGTGTATGTTTTGTCTTAGCCTTGTTAACACCCTAGCCTCTTCCTTTTATGTAGACTTAACTCAAATGTTGGTCTTTCTGAAGACTTGTATTACCTAGAGATGCTTTTCTTGAACAGAGTTCCAATCTCTATACAGGTTCACATGAACAACTTGCCAAAGAATACACATTATATTGCAAAAATGCTGATGGTTTGGATTTATATTAGAGTAAGGCTCAGAACTGCTAGCAGCTGCTGTATATGAACCACTCTGGTAAAAAACATGCATAATATAAAGGGGTGATAAAAGCTGCCTTGAGCTTTTTAGGACATGCTAGTTGTAAACAGTGAGCACCACAAGTCTTGGAAGAGCAGTATATGCCTCACCCATAGCATTTTGCCCTGGCTGATGTAACAAATTCAGGCTTCAGATGAAGTCCCAACTTTCAGTGAGAAGTTGGGCAATGAAAAGAATGGGGACTCTTTAAGCACTTTGTAATCAGCTGCATAGACTAGTGGCTGTATCTGTCCAGTAAACCCAATCTACAGCATGATCAACAGCTACCTCATGTATGTAATAATGCACGGTAACAGGCACTACATAACTCTTAAATACTCTGAATGCAATTTCTACCCAAAGTACTTCTTACAACCTACTCATCAGTACAATTTCATGACAGAAACTGGAAGACCCCATCTTTCTCAGAGTACTAATGCATAAAGACCCACTTATTCTATACTTCATGGAATTTATAATAGCTTCTCAGGGTGCTTTACAGGTGAAGAAAAGCTCCCAGTAAATGTTTATTATTATCTCCCTACTAATAATGTTTAAGCTTTTACTCATCAAAGTTTCCCTTCCAAGTCAACACAAGTTAAGCTAGCTTCCTATTTCTCAATTGTAAGCTTTAAAAAAAGTACAGAAATCAGTATCCATGATTATGTGACTTTAACCTTTAGGTATAACCTGGACTTGTGATTTTATTAGGAAAAGTCCTAAATGAAAGAATTACCATTTTGGTCCCCTGGTGACTGCAATAAGCAGAAATCCCTAATCACTACAGTACTGCAATGATAAATGCACTCTACTTGTTTTCAAGCAGGTTTTATTTAAAGAGAACTGAAAATACCCCTTGCCTGCATTAGAAGTGCTATTCATGTTTATTAAACTAAGTAGAGCTAAACTGAGTACAAATAAAGACTGTAAGTCCTGTAATAATAGGAGTCTTACTGCTAGTATAATAGCCCAGAAAAAGCTGAGTCCTCCAAGCACTAGCCACTCACTACTTCAAAGTCTGAAGTACCTTGAGTTCAGTGCTCAGATGATGAAAAAATTGCTCTGCCATCTTATACTTGTCAGTCTTAAACTTTTAAACTTTGCTCTGCCATTACTTGGAGTCCTTCCCAATTGCAGAAGAGAAGACCACTGTTAACAGATACACAGGCATGCTACCCTAGTTAGTTCTTACACTGAACATACTAGCAGGTGAAGCTGTCTAAAACCAAAGGAAAGCAGCAGAGGTGTTTGTCTTATCTGTGCAGGTGTGAGACTGTGTGGCCACTTGCAGAACTAGAATAAACTACTGCATGCAGTGTAGACCTGTACTGTGTGGTAAGAGTATCTGCTGCAGTGCTGTTATAGATCTGGTGTGATGTATTTGCTTGGGTCCTGGAAGCCTCATGAAATCTTTCTCCCTAAAAATATATAGGAGATTCTCTCTAGAAAGGCTAGGTGTATGGGGAAGTAGTGAAAACAGTGCAGTAAAGCTCAACAGTAAGCTACTTACAACCATTAAATATACAAAAATGGTATTCTCTAGTTAAAGACAAC